GATATATTTCGCTATCACAACGATCGGAGTCAGAATAGGAACAGCCAATTAGAGATGCTATAGTGTATGTACAGTACAGCAGCCAATCGCTGGGTTTCTCTCAACCAGTGGTACATGCTGGGATAGGGTATATACACTGGAGGGATTTGTCATGGGCTCAGACTAACTGGGACCAACCATGGAATAGGGATGGGTGCTGTTCAGCATGCCCCCCAGGCTAGGCCTAGGGCCTGGGGTGGGCATAGGCTGGTGTGAGGGAAATGCTTCCCTGATGCCTCCAACATGTGCTGTGTTGCTGTTAGAGGAAGAGACCCAGGACCAATGATGGCTCTTGAAGTTTCCTGGAACCTGAGGACTTCAGGAGCATGGCTGGTGTCTTTCCTGTTGAGGATCTATATTCATCCTTGCTCATCTACTACTTCAGTTGCTATCTGCTGCCTCACAAGTGGATCTACACTGATATGCCAACTAGGTCTGTTGAGTCTGGAGTCAAAATATGTTATAACCTGGAAGCTTAGAACCCCTATACCCAATTCCCCCCAGTGAAGATGTTCAATAAAAGTTATTCTGCATTATACTACTGGAGTGGACATCAGCTATTGTGGGAACTAGAAGAAGGGCGGTTAATGCTAATGGGTGGGCAGCTGAAGATCATACCCTAGACAGACTAGAGATGAACCGGGCATTCAGGGGAAGAGTGAGAGCATCTGTCAGGTTTTTCTCTGATGCTCTCTAATGGGAGCATAGAAAACACATTTTCAATAGAATGTGTGACAATGTTTTTTTTTTAAATCTTATTTTATGTGTTCCTGTCTTGGTGACGACCACACACTTTATTTCTTGGATGGGTGTAATTGTCACAGGAAAAGCAAGTGCAAGAAAATCTCCCAAATGAGGTCACAGACATAGTTGGAAAAGGGTTAACATTCTATCATAAACTATGCAAAAATGGCTAGAGTTAGGCTTTCAGAGAAGTAGGTAGGCATTGGGAGGAAGAGCCAAGGAGGAATAGTTGCCTCCAGTATCTGACCTTGTGTGGTAGTTTCTCCATCAGTTCCTGCCAGAGGAGCGGTGCCTTTGTCTACCTGCAAAAGAAAGGCCAGATTCAATATTTAAAAGAAAATTGTAAATCAGTGATGACCCCATTAAGCCAATAAATAGAAGACGACTGACCTTGATTCCTACAACAATGCCCTGATCCTTCAAGAGTTTGGGGAAAAGGACTCCATTATTGGACTTCTGGTACAGGGTCTCATGGAAAAGGATGACCCCTCCGATGCTTTCATTCAGCTTGGAGTCAGCCGTAAAGAGAAGGTTTCTGAAGAAGCGGCGGTTCTCTTCAATGTTCTCCACATTGATGCGCTTCAGGCGACTGCCCATGGTCCCTTAAGTGGGCAAGGTTGGATTGAGAATGGTTGGTTAAGACAGTTCCCAATAAAGAAGTGTAACACAATAATCATGACGAATAAGGGGTCTCTGAACTATGGGGGCAATTTCAAGGTGGGCCTTTAGTATTCAATTACCTGAGTTAAGTACATGACGTGCCGCCCAGCTTCCTGATTGGTCAAGCCGGCTTAATAGCAAATCAGGAAGCCGAGAGGCCGGTCATGATGTGCCATCTGGCTTCCTGATTGGTTAGGAAGCCAGGCTGTCTAGCGACAAGTGAAGCCGGGTTCCTAGCTAATCAGAAAGCCGGGAGGTGGGTGCCACCCAGCTTCCTGATTGGCTAGGAAGTCAGCTTCACTTTGCGCTGGCAGCCTGGCTTCCTGATCAATCAGAAAGCTGGGGGGTGGGTCATGACCTGCCATACTGCTTCCTGATTGGTCAGGCTGCCTGGTGACAAGTGAAGCCTGCTTCCGAGCCAATCAGGAAGCTGGGAGGTGAGTCATGACCTGCTGTACGGCTTCCTGATTGGTCAGGAAGCCAGGCTGGCTAGCAACAAGTGAAGCCGGCTTCCTAGTCAATCAGGAAGCCGTGTGGCACGTAGTGACCTGCCTCCTGGCTTCCTGATACAGGAAGCCAGGCTGGCTAGTGACAAGTAAAGCCGGCTTCCTAACCAATCAGGAAGTCGGGAGGCGGGTTATGACCAGCCGCTTGGCTACCTGATCGGCCGGGAAGGGGGCTCCATGCTCCCTCATGGAACTGCCAGTCAGTTCAGGTATCGGGGTGAGTATCAGAGCATTCCTACTTTTAACCCTAGGACTGTGGGGGTAGCCCCTATGCATAGCTATACAGAGCAGGAAGATAGGGGGTCGTTTAGCTGTGTGTGTAATCTGAGCTTCAGTGGATAAGCTCTGTATACAGGATCTTTTTTAGCAAATCACGTATGTGTGTATATATATATAT